TGGTTGTTGAAATCGTGGAGGTAAGCATCAAGTAGTAGTGTTGATAGTAGTGACAACAGCAGCATTAGCAGAAGTAATATAAGTACTAGCAACAGTAACAGTAATAGTAATAACAGTAACAGTAGTAGTAGAAGAAACAGAAACAGCAAGTGTAAAAGTAACCAGATTTCAATGAGAGAATCCACACACCAAACATATATAACTGTTTTTAATGAGCCTCATGTTGACACCGAAGTAGCTGTGGACACAACAAGACATGAAACCACATCTCGTTCTGGCTTTCAGACACCACACATCAAGTTGTTGAAGTTTCTTAGAAAACAGGATCTAGGTGTTGGGGACTTTAGAGTGTATTTCTTGATATTCGTGTCTGGTAGTGTATTTCTTGATATTTGGGCCTGGTAGTGTATTTCTTGATATTCGGGCCTGGCAGTGTATTTCTTGATATTTGTACTGGTACTGTGTTTCTTGATGTTTGTGACTGGTACTGTATTTTGTTGATGTTTGTCGCTGGTACTGTATTTTGTTGATGTTTGTGACTGTTGCTGTATTTTGTTGGTGTATGTGACTGGTGCCGTATTTTGTTGATGTTTGTGACTGGTGCCGTATATTTTTGATGTTTGTGACTGGTACTATATTTTGTTGACGTTTGTGACTGGTGCCGTATTTTGTTGATGTTTGTGACTGGTACTATATTTTGTTGATGTTTGTGACTGGTGCCGTATCTTGTTGATGTTTGTGACTGGTGCTGTATTTTGTTGGTGTATGTGACTGGTGCTGTATTTTGTTGATGTTTGTGACTGGTGCTGTATTTTGTTGATGTTTGTGACTGGTGCCGTATTTTGTTGATGTTTGTGAAAGGTGCCGTATTTTGTTGATGTTTGTGACTGGTGCCGTATCTTGTTTATGTTTGTGACTGGTGCTGTATTTTGTTGATGTTTGTGACTGGTGCCGTATTTTGTTGATGATTGTGACTGTTGCTGTATTTTGTTGGTGTATGTGACTGGTGCCTATTTCTTGATATTTCCTTTACTATGGATGATTTGTGACTAAAATGTTTTTTTTTTTTTTTTTTTTTTTTCTAAATGTGCATTTATTGGAATGTTTGTCTACAAATCTGTAACTAAACAGTTTTTTTTTTTTTTTTTTAGTTTCTTGTCTGGAATGTTTTCTCTAAAAGTTTATTCTTTTGTCTTCTAAAATGTCTCCCTCTCTAATGTGGACATATAGCACTAATATGTGTCGTTGCTTCTTATTCTGTCCCGTGCTCAGTAACTCTCTCTCCCATATTTTCCTACGTAAGCAGTTCTTCCGGCTCCGTTCTCATTCAGTGGCCAAACTCCCATTTTCTGCCTGATGAAAAATCCTGATGTGCCTCATTTCATTTCAGTAACTTGGGGTGTTTCCCATAACATTTATCGTTTGGCCCAAAAAAAAAAATAATAATAATAACTGCCCCAGAACAATAAGAAAAACTTTAGTATAGACTGAAAGTTTTTTACTTCGGTGACGTGACTTGCGCACTTGCCTGTCGGTCCTTGATCATGTCCACTCAAATCCAGATGATCAAAGGGATCAAACTGTGTATTCTGAGTAATAATTGCCGAGTTGCTTCCCCTGGTATTAAAATATACATTATAAGATACTGAGATGTGTGTTTATCCTGAAAACTGTGTTTATAAGATACATATAGTTATGGGGTTATTGTTCCTGCCATAACAGGGGCAGACAACCTGTAATAGATTCTAGCAAGTACTAAATCTTTCTTCCTCGGAAATATTATTGAAACTATGCAAGAAATCCGTACACACCTAATTTTGGTGTTTTGCAGTAAGCAGGGCGACCGCACTGATGTAGTGGCTAGACGTTGGCCTGCGGATCGGAAGGTCGTAGGTTCATATCCGGACTGTGCTATACTAAAAAATGAAATTGGCTGCAAGATTTCATCATGATCAGGTGCCTTGCCGACTTTCGTTGGCGTCCACGCCTCTCCACAACCTACGATCTCCTGCAGCATGTATTAGTTCATGTGCCGACACACCTCCATGCCATGCAAGACTGTCAAGAATCTCCTCTCGTTGTCTGCCTCTATCCCTCCTTCCACAGATCTTTCCAGTAGTCACAAAATGTTCCATTTTCCCTCGTTCAAAACAAGGCCGAAAAATGATGACTGACTCTTTTTTATATTTGTTATAAGTTGTCTTCGGGCTCCCGCCTCTTTCAAAACCTCTTGGTTGCTCTTTTTGGTTGTCCAAGAAATTCAAAGCATTCTTCTGTAAAACCACATCTCTGAGGCATCGAGAAATTGTTTGGCTGCCTACCGATTATCCAGGACTCACAGCCATATGTTAAAACTGGATGTATGTAGCAAGCAAGAATTTTTTTATCTAACCTTTAATGACAGAGATATATTACATAAGATGTTCTTCATTTTAAAAAATGCAGTTTTTACCTGTCCTATTCTGTTTCTTATCTCAGTAATGCATCTTCCATCTGATGTTATACATGTGCCCAGATACTTAAATTTCTGTACTTGTCCTAAAATAACACCATTGACTTTTATTACACATTTAGGGAAAATTCGTTTCTTTGCTACCACCATTACATCTGTCTTCCCATTATTCAAACTGTGGCCCATTCTTCCACTTTCCAACACCACAATGTCTATCATTTTCTGTAGTTTTTTCTGACTTGTTGCTGTCAAGACTGTGTCATCAGCATAACGCAGATTGTTTATATTGTACCCACTAACCACAATTCTGGGTGTATCATTTAAAGATCTCGTTATATAGTCACTGCATAGTGAAAAATAATTCAGGTGACAGTACACATCCTTGTCGTACGCCCTTCTTTATGACCTGAAATGTACTTAAATAGGTACTTGGTAAAATTCCTGGGAAACAAAGGTGACCAGCATGATGCTCACCACATCGCACATCAAGCACCCATTGGACTATAAAATAGGGCTAACCCTATATGCCCTATACGTCCGGAGACATAAAAATTGGTCATTACTTTACTGAAAGTGATCTGCGGATTTAATGTAGAATTCTCATTGACTGTGCCAAACATGGATCGTGTTGTGAAGTGCAGACTTAAGAAATGGCGAGTTGCCTTTTGTCCCAGATATGGCAGTGCCTTACACGATTAAGTGCGTGTGCAACTACTGCTTTGTTGTTTTTGCTGCTGTGATTGACAATGAACTCCATTTCTGAGGCTGGAATGTTTGTGTTGGCACTTCTGTCGGCTGCCTTGTGAATTTATTGAATGTGTGAGTGGTTGACTCTGCCGAGACTGCGGGCTCTGTCAGTTATTTCACGAGGGACAGTAATGGACAGTGTGTACGCAGTTATTTCACGAGAGACAGTAATGGACAGTGTGTACGCAGTTATTTCACGAGGGACAGTAATGGACAGTGTGTACGCAGTTATTTCACGAGGGACAGTAATGGACAGTGTGTACGCAGTTATTTCACGAGGGACAGTAATGGACAGTGTGTACGCAGTTATTTCACGAGGGACAGTAATGGACAGTGTGTACGCAGTTATTTCACGAGGGACAGTAATGGACAGTGTGTACGCTCTTGGTTGGCATCAGACCACAGCAAGTAAACAATGCAACCATCTCCATGTCATCAAGAGACTCCAGTCCAACTCTGTTGCTCTCTCTCTCTCTCTCTCTCTCTCTCTCTCTCTCTCTCTCTTTCTCTCTCTCTCTTTCTCTCTCTCTCTCTCTCTCTCTCTCTCTCTCTCTCTCTCATCAACTTTCGTTTTCGGGTTTCTATTGAACGTCTTCATTTCCACAATACATTTGTTTCGCATTTAGGTGCCTGTTTGGTGATCTTCGCTTCTACCTTGGATGTGTCCAGTATAGCGACATCTTCTTTGTCTTTACACTTTGAAACCATCTGTTGTGTAGACAACTTTCTTATTCCTTCGCCCTACTCGAATTGTTTCTGTTTAATGTTCATCAATTTTCTGAGGCAGTTGATTTCAAATTCATTTATCTTTCGTTCAATTTCTTTAGTTTTTCTCCAAGTTTCACCGAGTCTATTTTTAACATGAACTTGTTCTGATATAGTTCATATCGTGTGGCGTAGGTAGTCACTACTTTCCACAAACTTTTATGTCGTGTATTTTCAATCATTTCTGACACAGATGACCTTCCATTCAGTCCGTCATCAAATCTCTTGGTCTGCCTCTGCTTCTATTCTTTTCTGACCTTCCCACTGCCACGATGTATTGCAGTTGATTTCTTTAAATGATGTGACAATAGACTTTAGATTGTCTCTTTCAGATGATGTGGGTGAACACTTCTCTCTGTAAGTTTATTTCTGCCTAAAAATGATCAATACTCTGTTATTTGTCTATTTTGGTGTTGTGTTGTTGTTGTTGTTGTTTTTTTTTTTTTTATTATTAGTCTATAAAACCAAATCTCTGCCTCTACCACATAGTTTATCACTAATCAGCTAATTGCCCATTGTTCACTTGTTGCGCATTAATGAATGCATGTTTTCTGTCTTCATGTATCGACTAAAGAAATATTGTGTGCCTGCCTGTCTACTTTATTTTTCTCCGGTTTGCTTCTTAGTTTCATAGTCCCAGACTCTGTCGTCAGAGATATTTCTCTTCGTCCTTTGGGGTCCTGTTTGCAGAAGGTCTCGCTAAACTTTGGCAATGACAGTTTTCCTGTTGACAGCATGGGGACAAGGAAGCGCGAACGACCTACGGAAAACTGGAGAATGACAAGAGACAAGGGGGAAAAGGCATTGTAGATCAGCTGTGAATGCCTCGTCTTTCAATAGCAACATTAAAAGTATATAGAGATATAGATAGAGGAACCCACAATTTAGATCTATCAAGAGGACAACAGTTCTTTCCCTCATTCAGTCAAATCAAACGACACAAATCATAAAACAATGAGATGTTCAAAAAATAGAGACGGATATGACGCTGAAACGAAGTTGGCCTTGTCTTGCCACGACTGGAGAGGTTTAGCTATCACTTCTTCAGCACTGGTCGGAAGAGTTCTTCTGTTGATATGAGGCCATCACCTGGGGATGCAGAAATATACAAGTAATATGTGTTGTCTAACTGTTGCTGTAGCTGCTTCTTCTTATTCTTGTTCTTCTTGTTCTTGTTCTTCGTCTTCTTTTTCTTCTTTTTTTCCCCCCATCATTATTGTGTTTTTTATTTATACTTTTCTTTCTTTCATTTTGCTCTCTTTCTTTCTTTCTTTCTTTCATCTACCTCTATCTCCTACTTCTCTTCCTCCTTCTTTTCTCCTCCTCTTTGTCCTCCAGCCTCTCGTCTTCCTTGTGTGGCCTTTCCGCAGACTCTATACCTCATAATTCAGTGTGTCTGTTCAGACTGTTTTTGCGTTTACTTACTGAAATATGTCCATGTTTTTGCGTTTACTTACTGAAATATGTCCAATTATTATCTAAGGCTTTATCTATCCATACGTATGAACTTCCTTCCCAAAAAATTTACCAATGTGTGGGCCTCACTGCCTTCTCTATCCTATTTTCACCTGTCATAGAATGTACAAAGAAACTCTTCAAGGGAAATAATAACAGTCATCATTTTCTATGTTGATATTTGGATTCACCTTTCAAGTTGCTGTTCACAGTTTGAAACACATTTTTTAGAGTTTAAGCAGGCAGGCGGGGGGAGCGGGGGGGGAGATTAAATAGATTTCAACTGGCCTACTGCGACAATCTATCTTGCTTTGGCTTCCACAACGAAAAACTTCAATTTTCCAAACATCCGGTCTCACACCTTTTCTGGCCAGACAATGATATCTGTTTCACACAGATGATCTGTGTCGTAATCTGTTTAGCAGAAACATTCACCTTGACAGCCAACTTCAATTGTATATGGTACCGGAAGTTAGAATCAATCATAAAGCTAGAACCAATCGCAGGCGTCGGTACCTTAGGTGCTCTGGAGCTTCAGCCTAATAGCAATCATTTTCAATGCTAGGAATGTTAAAATATGTCAATATATTTATTTACTTATCAGCACATATTTGTACTAATAAGTATTATTTAAAATATTTATTATTTTTTTTTTTTTTTGGCGCTCTTTTTTTTTTTTTTTTAGCTCTTTTTAGCTCTTGCGTTTATTAGAGGTGACAGTCTACATTGTTTGGTCATGTTATGGGAAGGAGAAAACTGGTTTACATCGTGACGGTGGAAAAGCTAGAAGGGAACAAGAGGAAGACGGAGACCGAGAGATAAATGATGCTGGGCAGTTTGACATCATTGCGTTAAAGAACATCTGTGTCAGAATAAATTAAAATTATACCAATGCCACATAGCATCAACTTAAAAAAAAGAAAAGGCTTTTTTTACCCCCCACCCCCCAATCTACATCCCCTGCCCCCCCCCCCCCCAATCTATAAATGAGTTCCCTCACATGTCTTCTTTGTGTCGACGCCCCTAGGATCCATAGCCGGTGTCTGACACCATTTGCGCTGGGGAATTAGTGTAGATTTGTGTTGTATATCAGTAAAGTCAATAACAGGTAGAGAAAAAAAAAATATGTGTCATCATTAAAGCTGGGAGAGAAGGAGGCAAGAAATGTGTCGGCATTGATCGAATTCTAGACTTCAGACAAGGTCAAGGCGTCCCAAGAAAGACAGTAATTCCTGACTTCCGCTGTTTCAGCTAGCGACTTAACGATCCATCATCTCGTCACATATCCAGCTGCTTTACCTTGGAGACGTTGACAGTATATTCTTTGAATGAATGAATGAATGAATGAATATCATTGCACCCGAGACATGCCCCCGGGTGCTTCGTCACTTTCTTCCGTAGCCAACAGAAAGTCGCTATGCTAATGATACCAGTTACAACCTGATTAAAAGTCCGCCTATGTTTCCCCCTTAGTGTTGAATATCTTTCAGAATCTCTACCCCCACCCCCCTTCCCCTCTCCCCGTTCTATTAGTCTGACAATGTAATAGATTCTCTATGTGCTCTATTGCCCTGTCTATTTGACTCCAGAGAACCTTTAACGCATCCGTTTGATCACAAAGTAGCTCGCCGCACAGAGATGCCCAGCAGCTAATCTATCAGCCTGCTCGTTACCTGACACATCGTATATTCTTTCATTCAGTTGTAAAACCTCAAGAGCGTCAGGTGTTTGTAAACCCATCTCTGGTACATTCCTTGTTTTCGTCTTCATTTATTGCCAGATCGTGTTAGATTTCATCTTCATGTAGTTAGTGTTTCAATTGCTTCTGTAATTTAAGTAGTGTTTTTATCCTTATACACGAATACGCCCTAACCCCTAACTGCAGATTTTATCGAGCTGGCGTGCCCAAATTATAACTTCCTTTGAGACTGAATGTGTATCTGCATATGCCATTTTGCCTTCTTGTCCTGGCTGAGATTGTTTTATTTGTATAACTTTAATTAATTATGTTTGGCATATGTGTTATATTATCACTATCTGTGTTATTATTGTAACCTTTTACGTATGCCATGTTATATCATTCCTGCACAATTGTTAGTTCACTTCCGATTGTCTTGTTTATGATTTCTATTCCACGAACTTCTTCTCAGTCTGTTGTCGTGGCATGGAAAAACGTGGGTCAGCCAGCGGATACCTGTGGCTGGAGGTCGCAAAATGGGGAGACACGTGGCCGCATACTGTCTATCAGTGAGGCACTTGATAGTAATAATTATGATGCGGACTATGATGCTGATGATGATGAAGATGACAGCGACGATGATGATGGTGATGCTGACGATGTTGATGATGATGATGATAATGGTGATGCTGATGATGATGATGACGATGATGGTGATCATGATGATAAATAATAATAGCGATAATGGTGATAATGATGATTGCAATGATGGGTGATGATAATAGCGATGATCGTAATGGCCATGCTGATGATGGCGAGGCTGATGATGACATTGTTGGTGATGATGATGATGATGATTATAATCGTGATGATGTTGACGATGAGGATTCCATACCTTGGTTTCATTAATGCTATAAAATTCGAATTACTTCACATCTCATTATTATTACAATTATTATTATTATTATTATTATTATTATTATTATTATTATTATTATCACGTGTATTGCACTATCTTTTCCGTTGTCTATATCTACAACGTTAACCTCAGTCCCAGTTGCACGTTTTCCATCTCGAACAAGGCATCCTGCTAATGAATTATTATCTTCTTTCTTTCCCGTTAAGCTACATCACTGATTTATCTTATTTGGTTGTCCCTTTGTTTTACAAGAGGGAACTCACTTTTTTTCTGCTAGCTGCCCTCGACAACGCATCGATTGTGCAGGTTCGCGATCTTTCTCACCTTAAAGAATATTTTGTGTGTTGAAGGTCAGGTCACAGTGAAGTTTTCTTTAGTTTTAAAATACTGACTCGTCAAAAAGTCTCTAACTCTGTTTACATGCAAGTAAGACAAACTGACTTATACTGATGAGTGGCTGGTCGAACGGGTTAGAACGCTGGGCTCTAGTTCGGAAAAGCCAGGTTCGAAACCTCGGTAAGAAAGTAGGCTTTTCCCCATCTGTTTATTGCTCCTCTAACCACTTTGACCACAGAAAGTAGCTTATGTATCCACAGATGTTAGATAATGTTACAATGTCACGGCTGTATCTACCATCAAGGTCTGATCACTAGCAAGTAGTCATTCGTTAATCTTACTAATATTGTTTTTTCTGGGCTTGGTATCCTTGCATATACTGTCGATGTAGGTGATAAACAGCAGCGGTGATAAGACAGATCCTGGTCTTACCCCAGATGTTCCAGTTTATAGTTTAGATGTGCCCTGTTTTTTTTTTTTTTTTTCTAACTATGCTTTTACATTGCCTATATAAAAATGTTGCACACTTCGATGAGGTGTTCGCTTACTCCATATCGAGCTGCTACTTTCCGTAATACCTGTCTGTTGACTCTGTAGAATGCAATATCCAGATTTACGAATGCCACAAACAAGATCTTCTTCTATTCGATGTTCTTTTCTATAAACTATTTAAGTGTCAAAACTGGACCTGTCCTGCCGCGCTGTAACAAGTGGTCAACGCGGACAGTGGAGACAACTGACATTAAACTTAAGGGAAATATAGGTAAAATTCTTCCCGCGTCCACAAGCATCACAATCTCGACATACAATTACTGGCACTAAGCTGACGGCCGTATCAATCCATAAATGATCTTGATCCCAGAGAGCTTTTAACACATCCGCTTTACGAAAACCAGAGGGAAGCAGCAGACAGTTTGTAACCTCAGAACCTCAAGGTACTGCTAGCAAGGTACTAGAGACACGATGTCTCCGGTACTGTTCGTCATGGCCATGCAAGTTATGTCAGATGGTGCTGCCCGGTACTGACAGGGCCTTCAGCCTGAGGATCACTGGATGCCACCACTAAGAGCATTTATAAACGACACGACTGTCACTCTGGGCTGTGAAAGTAAGGCACGCCTGATTCTGAAGAGGCTTGACTGCCAGGTTGAACATGCAATTCAAAGCCGCAGAAGGCCGGCATTCTGTTAATACGTAAATGTAAGGTTGTGGCAATCAGATTCACGGTAGCAAGCAAAACGATCCCCACGGTTCTGGAAGAACCAGTGAAAAGTCTCTGCCGCGTTTACGATTCGTCATCAGATAGGAAGTCCGGTGGATACATGAGTCCGTAGCTTCAGGCCTGCTTGCTATGGAACAGATCAGTCTGAAAGCGAAGTTCAAGGTCTGGGGTCTCCAGTTTATGTTGATTCCAAAGATTCTTTGGCCGCTGCTGGTGGACGAAGTCAGTGTGAGTATTGTAGAAACAATGTAGCGGAAAATCAACACTGCCTTCAGGAAACGGCTCAGAGCACCCCCTTGTCTGACCGATGTGGCGCTGCACTGTAAGCTGGCTAAGTCAGTAATTATGTTCTAGTCGATATCGGAAGAGGTTCAAGTCAACAAGGCCAGACTCGCAATGAGGTTGCGCGAATATGCAGACAACAATCGTCAACGCTGTCCAGCCCGCGCTAAAGATGGGGTGGAAGTTGAAAGTAGACGATACGACGATAGAATCTACCAAGAGTGCACTGGAAAGAAGTCATGGGTTACATACAAACCTACCGACTCGGCTTCGGATAGAGGAAGGTCACTTGGGAGCTTAGACACCAACACGGTTGGGTGAGATACTTTTAACTCACTGTGCCCGTGAGTTCGGGGCAGTAGATAACACTAAGCTGGGATTCACGCATGGGAAATGCAGGAGATTGGGACATACTGAGAGGTGCAGGAAAGACATGAATGCCCTCAGAAAACGGCTCAAAGCCGCTACAGGCAGCGAACGGGAGGAACTGCACGAGGTCTGGCTGTACCTGAAGGGCAGACAAAGCGCCCTCTGTCGCGCTGAGCGTGTTTGTCGGAACAGAAGTAGAACCAAAAGGGACTGAGAAAAGTTCTTTGGGGACCACTCCCAGTTTGCCCGAGACCTTTTCGAGTAGCTGAAATCAGGGAGTCTTGTTGACGGTCAAGAGTAACTGGAGTCGCCTCTGCTGGGCATTTACTTCGACAGGACAAGAAATGTTCCTCTCATAGGCCTGAACTGGCCGGAGTTGCCGAAGTCAAAGTTCAAGACAATGCCTTCCCCCTGGACAGGGTCGAAGAAGTGGTGCAACAAAAGCTAGCTGTAAGTCTGCACCAGGACCAAACGGTGTCCCGTATGTGGGATTTAAAAACTGTGCGAATGTCCTCCGAAAGCTTAACCGCTTGCTAAGCCTTGCGTGCTCCACGCAGGTAAACATGAAAGGCAGTGGCTGAAGGCCAACAAAGTCTACATTCCCAAGCAGTGTGACTTCTCGGATCTGTCCTAATTCAGGCCTAGGTCGTGGTGTAACGGACAGAGTGAGGGCACCGTATTCTTCTCGGTGATGACTCAGAATTACCTGATGCAGAACAAGTGTGCACGCTCCAGCCCTGGAGGTCTTGTCATAAACAGTTGGTGCTGCTACACTGGACAATACTGCAATCTGAAGATGTTGGCCTGTTTGCCTTACCAAATCACCGGGAGTGAGGGGGAGGGGGGCGCACCATGCATGTGTACACTACTTATAACGCAGAGATTTGTGTTTGACATCAACAGGAAGCTATTGTAATTCAAGAGCTAGGACTCTTGTTGTTGCCTCCTTGTCTGCCTATCTGCCTGTCTGCCTATCTGCCTATCTGCCTCTCTGCATATCTACCTGTCTGCCTATCTTCTGCCTGCCTGTCTGCCTGTCTGCCTATCTGCCTGCCTACCTATCCGCCTGTCTGCCTGCCTGCCTATCTGCCTGTATGCCTATCTGCATGTCTGCCTGCCTGCCTATCAGCATGTCTGCCTGCCTACCTATCTGCCTGTCTGCCTGCCTGCCTATCTGCCTGTCTGCCTATCTGCATATCTGCCTGCCTGCCTGTCTGCCTGCCTGCCTGTCTGCCTGCCTATTTGCCTGCCTGCCTGTCTGCCTGCCTGCCTATCTGCCTAAATGTTTGACCACCTGCCTGCCGGCCTACCTGACTGACCCAAGTTTACATACATATGCCTCCCTGATGTTCAGCTTTTCCATTCCCCAATGCAGAGTGTAAATTTTGTTTTTATTATTTGACATGAAGGACCAGGCTCCATTCAAGGTGAACTGGATACCGAGAAGAAAGATGTTATCGGATGTAAAGGCACTAAATGTCATGCTGACATATGACACCATGGAGTGTCATTTGGCCTGCTTCAACATGGACTAGCATTATACGTTATAATAAAAACGTTTGTATCAAACGAATAGGCAGTTTTGTTTATGTGTTTGTTACATCATGTGTATGTGTATTATTGTCTCCCCTCGTTATATTGGTGACTCGTTTAGATATACAAATTAAACACATACAAACACCTACACAAACACGCGCCCCCGCGCATACATATAAATACACACACACACACACACACACACACACACACATAGAATCACAATGACCCCACACAAAAGCATTTCCACACAAGCACACACAATAAGCCGTCACTACACACATAGATACAATCATACATACTCACACAATCACACATCACAACACACATTGGCAGACAAACCCACACATAACCACACATCACTACAACTGCACAAAAACAATCATGCATCAGCACACAATAAAAAAATTATACCTTCTCCCACACCGCCACACACACCGCCACACACACCGCCTCACACACATTTATACCTTCTCCCACACCGCCACACACACCGCCACACACACCGCCACACACACCGCCACACACACCGCCACACACACCGCCACACACACCGCCACACACACCGCCACACACACCGCCACACACACCGCCACACACACCGCCACACACACCGCCACACACACCGCCACACACACCGCCACACACACCGCCTCACACACCGCCACACACACCGCCGCACACACCGCCACACACACCGCCACACACACCACCACACACACCGCCACACACACCGCCACACACACAATTAAACATTAACACACATACATACAATCACGCATCACTACATACACCTAGAAACACACAAAACACAGAATCACACATCAAATTAAATAGATACAATAAAATGTCATCACTCACAACTATACAGTTACCTCACACCATGTAAACACACAAAACACAGAATCACACATCAAATTAAATAGATACAATAAAATGTCATCACTCACAACTATACAGTTACCTCACACCATGTAAACACACAAAACACAGAATCACACATCAAATTAAATAGATACAATAAAATGTCATCACTCACAGCTATACAGTTACCTCACACCATGTAAACACACAAAACACAGAATCACACATCAAATTAAATAGATACAATAAAATGTCATCACTCACAACTATACAGTTACCTCACACCATGTAAACACACAAAACACAGAATCACACATCAAATTAAATAGATACAATAAAATGTCATCACTCACAACTATACAGTTACCTCACACCATGTAAACACACAAAACACAGAATCACACATCAAATTAAATAGATACAATAAAATGTCATCACTCACAACTATACAGTTACCTCACACCATGTAAACACACAAAACACAGAATCACACATCAAATTAAATAGATACAATAAAATGTCATCACTCACAACTATACAGTTACCTCACACCATGTAAACACACAAAACACAGAATCACACATCAAATTAAATAGATACAATAAAATGTCATCACTCACAACTATACAGTTACCTCACACCATGTAAACACACAAAACACAGAATCACACATCAAATTAAATAGATACAATAAAATGTCATCACTCACAACTATACAGTTACCTCACACCATGTAAACACACAAAACACAGAATCACACATCAAATTAAATAGATACAATAAAATGTCATCACTCACAACTATACAGTTACCTCACACCATGTAAACACACAAAACACAGAATCACACATCAAATTAAATAGATACAATAAAATGTCATCACTCACAACTATACAGTTACCTCACACCTAGAAACACACAAAACACAGAATCACACATCAAATTAAATAGATACAATAAAATGTCATCACTCACAACTATACAGTTACCTCACACCATGTAAACACACACATCAAAACCAACACACACAAATGCAAACAAACGCAATCACACATCACCACACACACACCTCACCGCACAAATGCAAGGTCGCACATCAACACACACACACACACACACACACACAACTACACAAACAATCAGTTTTCAATAAATACATCCAAATAATCACATATCAACACACACACAACCACACACGCAATCACTCATCACTTCACATCCACATACAGACAGTCATACTTCAGCACACACATAACCCCCACCTACCGTCAATATCAACGAATTTCTTTAACAAAGCCTTGCCAAGGTTTGGATGTTTCGTGAGGAGCTCGGCGAAATTTGCCACAGTCATCAGTGTCCTGGAAGAGGTTCACATACAGGTGAATGAACGCATATACAAATATAACAATAAATACATATACATATACTACAGGAAATGATAGACATTGTGGTGTTAGAAAGTGGAAGAATGGGCCTCAGTTTGAATAATGGAAAGACAAAAGTAATGGTGGTATTCAAGAAACGAATTATTCCTAAGTGTGTAATAAGAGTCAGTGGTGTTGTTTTAGGACAAGTACAGAAATTTAAGTATCTGGGCACATGGATAACATCAGATGGAAGATGCATAACTGAGATAAAAAACAGAATAGGACAGGCAAAAACTGCATTTTATAAAATGAAGAATATCTTGTGCAAAATATCCTTGTCATTGAAAGTTAGAAAAAGAATTCTTGCTTGCTACATACATCCAGTTTTAACATATGGCTGTGAATCCTGGACAATCGGTAGGCAGACCAAACAAATTCTGGAGGCCTTGGAGATGTGGTTTTACAGAAGAATGCTTAGAATACCTTGGACAGATAAAAAGAGCAACCGAGAGGTTTTGAAAGAGGCGGGAGCCCGAAGACAACTTATCATAGACATCAGAAGGAGACAGTCATCATTTTTCGGCCATGTTATGAGAAGAGGGAAAATAGAACATGTTGTGACCACTGGAAAGATCTGTGGAAGGAGGGATAAAGGAAGACAACGAGAGAAGATTCTTGACAGTCTAGTTGCATGGCATGTAGGTTTGTCAGCACACGAACTGATACATGCTGCAGGAGATCGTGGATTATGGAGAGGCATGATCGCCCACGCCGGTCAACAAGGCACCTGATGATGATAATGTCACACACAGTAATACATATATTTATAAATACATTATCCGCTGTGAAGTCAGTCCTTCGAAGAACATCGCCCAGATCAAAGTCAACCTAACAGAAACTCAAGCCCTCACCAGCTCTCCTGCCTCGTGCACTTTCCTACCAAATGGTCAACTATGTCCATCTTTGTGTTGGTAGGCCGCTGCCCCTCTTTGCTGGTACCATGCTGTCTTCTATTTTTCTTTCCAATTCACTATGGCGCATGATGTGGCCAAAATGATCTAATTTCCGAGACTAGAAGTTGTTTACTGGCCAATTTTTCTTGATGTTCAGATCTTTCAGGCTGTCAGTATTCCTGTGCTTCTTGGTCCCTTCTATTCTAAGATTTCTACAGAAACTGTGCACTGTGCTGAGCTTCTTCAGACTCAGAATTGAGTTAGAAGAAGAACGGAGCACTTACGGGTTACTACCTGTGTGGCATGATGTTGATCCCTTGTTCAAACCTTAAAACTCGAATCTTCTTACAGTATTATAGGCAAAATGACAGCTAGTCAGTTAATGACTCACATTTCTACGTTGCTATAGGGAAGATGAACGCTCACAATTGTGACTTTGTTTTCCCTGCCTGTGTTCACCCAGATATTTTAAATATATTTTTTTGTCTTCAAATAAACAAATACGCCTACAAATAATCTGCAAAGTCACACATACAAAATGTACAGTAATGCAAAGACTAATACTGTGCATAAATATACATAAATGAAATCTTTAAAGATCTTCACCATCAATGTTTAAAGTTTCCAAAATGCTAATATTAATTTCTTCATGTTTCACTTTATCAAACGCTTTAGTGTAACCAATAAAGGACCAATAAAGGACCAATTCTGCTCTCGGTTCATTTCAATCATTCATTCTGAAAGTGTTCTCAAGATAAATATGGCGTTGTTTGTGCCTCTCATTATCATCATGTAGCAGGTCCTTTGCAGAACGTCGCTCTCATCACAGTCTGCCTGAAAGAAACTCGGTCTCTCGCCAGTTCTCCCGCCTCATGAACTTCACATTCTAGGAGTCACTTATATCCTGTGCCCATCTTCGTGTTGGTCGGCCCCTGCCCCTCCTTCCTGGTACCATGCCTTCTGCTATAATTGTTTCCAATCAGTCGTGGCGCTTGATATGACCAAAATATTTCAGCTTTTGAGAAAGGATGCTGTTTATTAGCCAATCTTCCTTGATGTTCAGATATTTTAAGATGTCAATATTTCTCATCTTCTTTGTCCAAGATATTATGAGAATCCTTCTATAGCATTCCAGCTCAAAAGCCCCTATTCTCTTGCTTCTCCAATTTCTGGTTTAATTTGGCACATTTTTCTTCTCACTATAATGCTCATTCATGTTTGAGTTATATGATTCTTGTCGTGTTACTCGATTGCTTTGTCCCACCTGCCTGGCATATCTTCATTCCCTTAGCTCTACTCCCTCCTTCTCATCCAACAACCCCAACATGTCACCTACATTCCTTTGCCAATTGTTTAATCCCCATAATCTTCAATCTCAGCCCCTACCTGCCATCTTTCAACATCTTCCCCAATCGATCCACATTACACCTCGCACGTATCTAAGTCCTCAGAATACAGGCTTGATTTTCCAATGCAATTGCAAATTTTAAAGGCGGCCAGAAATTATTTCCGCAGCTAACGATTTCTACCGTCACCGAGTAATCTGGCACCTTGTTAGAACATCATTACAGAGCTCAGTGCAAGCGCGGTGCAAATCTAGATTATTGCACATGGAAAAATTATGCCTCATTTCTTCCATTTACTAAGGCAATTCAGACTACACGAAATATGAAATTACTAATCTTCTTTATTATGCATGCGAATCTGGGCGTGTTTGTGAGTGTTTTTTTTGCGCCGTGTAATAATCTGATATTGCATATTATTAATGAGACCTTGTTTGGGGCTAGATGTCACAATTGTTGTCTGGCCAGCGGACAATGAAAAGTGCAATTTATGACGACGGTTGTTACGTGGGCCTTTCTTGTAAATTATTGTGAGTGTGTGTGGGATGGCGAAATGAATTTTAATCTGTGGCAATTCTGTATGAAAAAAGCCGCAAACAAAGTAGTGTCTAGACAAAGGCCTGATGAGGCGAAGTTCTTGGGTTTAAACCTGGATAGATACGGGTTTTTCTCGAAACTTTCATTTTCTTCCCGGTCCACCCAGCCTATTAACATACAGCAAGGTAATATCCTGGGAAGTAAAGGCGGTCGGCGTGTACTGACCTCATCCTCCACCCAGTACGGATCTGACTGAAAATATATGTAAAAGCCTAACATCAAATGCTCCATAAGTCACTGTAGTAAAATGGGATCTTTTTTAAAAACTTTTGTTTGGTTTAGATTCCTTTTGTATGAGTGGCGCTGTTATGTTTTTGAGGTATAGATTTTGTGATGGATCTATGGGCGGAGAGGTGGATATATTGGCGGAGAGATGGATACATTGGCGGAGAGATGGATATATTGGCGGAGAGATGTATGGTGTGTGTAGATAGATGGATTGACGGTAAGTGAATATGTTGAATGGTTGGAGGAACGGATAGACGAATCGACGAATGGATGGATGGACAGATGGATGGATGGATGGATGGATGGATGGATGGATGGATGGATGGATGGATGGATGGATGGATGGATGGATGGATGGATGGATGGATGGATGGATGGATGGATGGATAGATGGATGGATGGATTGATGGATGGATGGATGGATGGATGGATGGATGGATGGATGGATGGATGGATGGATGGATGGATGGATGGATGGATGGATGGATGGATGGATGGATGGATGGATGGATGGATGGATGGATGCGTGGATGAATGGATGGATGGATGAGTGGGTGGATGTATGGTGAGTGCAGAAATGAATGAATATGTTGGATGGAGGAATCGATTGTGTTGACGGATGAATGGATGGTGCGGGTGAAAATATGGGTGGGTGGTTGGATGGACTAATGGATGGATGGATGGTTGGTTGGCTTGATTTGATGATGGATAAATGGCCGAGTGTGTAGATTATTGAATATTTTGTATGGGTGGATGGGTGAATGGATGGGTCAGTGGTTGGATGGATGGATGGATGGATGGATGGATGGATGGATGGATGGATGGATGGATGGATGGATGGATGGATGGATGGATGGATGGATGGATGGATGGATGGATGGATGGATGGACGGACGGATGGATGGATGGATGTATGGATGGATGGGTGATGGATGGATGGATGGATGGATGGATGGATGGATGGATTGGTCGATCAATGGAAGAAGATGTTGACAATATGAATAGATGCCCCTACTGTTAATAAAGGAAAAGGCAGTTTGATGGCATAGAGTAAGTGACGACGTGGTGACAAGTCTACAAGTACTACTCCTCATATGAATGAACCATTCTGTATTAGGCACTGTCGCGCCACCAGTTTTTTTTTTTTTTTTTTTTCAGTTTCATCTCGAGGTGGAGATTTTTAAACACTAACCTTCCGGGTGTGGGTTACAGAACCCCCTGTTGGAGACAAGAAAATGCCCGCTGCTTCCCTAACAAGTATGTCCTAAAAGGCGACTAATTAGGGATGCTTTTGTTTTTGAAGTCAGAGTGCGTCTGTCTAATAGTCGACGAATCAACGGTTTGCATACAAATAAACTCCACCTTTGTAAAACGGGTGTGCACGCAACACTCAAGTTCTGGAACAAGGCTGCCTTTTCAAGTCCAGACTGGACGAACAACCAGAGTTTACATCCGATGAACGCTGGGTGGAAGAAGAATCTTTATCAGCCAGATTCCATGATTGATGCAGCCTAAAGGAGTTGCTATAAAAACTTATAAGGAAGTAAACTCGATCGGGTAATAGTGATCACAATTCACACAAAGAGTCGGCTGGTGGTTATAAATGTGGAATTACCATTATATACCCTATACAGCCAAAGAACAATGCGTCTTTTACTTAACTAAGCCGTTAGGCTTACCTTCGCCAGTCATCTAACAATGGATGCAACCGCGACTCACCCGTCACTGATGTCCTCCAGAGAATGTGGCGAGTTGTCTGCAGCTCCCAGAGTGTACTGTAACGAGGACTCCGGCCGCGAATTTAAGTAGTCTCTCTTTCCAAAACCGTGAGCAACTCTAGTGGCCGCATCTCCTCGGAATCCTCTTTTTTGTCTGTTCCGAGCAGAAGAAATGAGAAAGTTGGACAACCACTACAGATTTACACACAGAAACAAAAAGTTACGAAAGGAACCGTTTGACGTTAGATGCCAATCTGGCAGATGATGCTAGGCTAATATGTTTGTAGACAATCGGCCCTCGGTGGCTGGTATAGCTAAAATCTGGCCGGCTGCCTTTACTTTTCATGACATTGTCAGGTGCTCATTTTGGGCTGTGAGGGCCTGGGAGCCGAGGTCATGTTGAAATTCCGTCTTGATGCGGACTAGAACCAAAGACCTCATGGTCGCAAGGCGAGAGTCTAGACGCTACACCTTAGTAGCTCATATGAATAGCAAAACGACATTTAAATCCTTTAATCCCAAGCAACGCCTCATAGGTTCATGGGTTCCGACCCAGAAGTCCAGTGAACGCAGGATGCGTCGATTACATGTTCCCCTGAACCACCATTGGGCCTCCGATGTTAAACCCCTGGGACTAAATGTAGTTCATTCTGACTGGATATACTACATTTACTCAACTCACAGACACATACACTGACAGACATGCAAGCAGGCGGTCACGCAGACAAACATAGGGGCAGGCAGACATGCAGACAGACGGACAGACAGGCAGACAGACAGACCTGTATTCTGAGGCAGTCTTTAAGTGAGCCTTATTTTGACAAACATTTGTCACTTATGAGTTAGATTATTTTCACAGCACTCCGGACACATCCTTTGTTGCTTAGATTCCCCTCTCAACATTTTCATCAGCGTGGCGCAGTTAGTAGTGCCAGTCCTATGTTGGTTAACAAGGCTTCTTGTGCGTCCGGTGTGCTTCTCATGCTTGGCTGTGCTGATCTTTACTCACAATTCTCACATTATTAGCAGTGATGTGGACACGATGTTTTCAAAATCCCCAGAACGTCCTGTCTCTCTAAGGGCAATGATCATGTCTGCGTCATCCATTGGCCAGCCATCTTCAATTATTGCAGCACCTGCCAGTCTATCAGCTCTTTCATTACCAACAACACATGCATGCCCTGGGACAAATATGAAGGTAACTGCACACAAAGGAGAATTTTGTAATGGCTCAAACCACTGTCTGCGTAACTAGCCTGCATCGACCTACCGGATCATGCTCAAAGAGTTACTCAGCACACACACGTGAGAATAGTTCTGTGGTCCCAGCCACATGAAATCCTGTGTTGCCGCTATCATCTCCGTCGTCGTGCTGCTGGTGGTCATAGAAAAGGCACCGTTGGCTTCTTGAAGAGCCTGAAGAGCAAGCTATAAATGCCCATGCACTTTTATGTCCTCGTATAACGGACTCGTCTGTGAAGATCACCACATCTGTCTCAGCTGATTTGTCACTGATAATCACGCATACCTCGGCGTTGATAGCGGGTGGATTCTGCTCCCGAGAACTCTTATCGAAAGTCACGACACAGGAGAATGTGAGATTGACCACTTTAGACGCTGGTATCCATTCCTCACCTGGATGGATATCTGTGAGTGTAGTTCTGTAGGTGAGTTAATGGAGGGTTTAGATATGAAGACGGTAGGTGTTTACGAATGCAGGTTGGAAGGTAGCTAGGTTGGGGAGGCAAAAGTATGTTAGTTGACATATATTTAAAGACGCAGACAGAATGACAGACATATATTCAGACACTTGTGAACACGTACCCAGATATTGGCCTTACCTGTGTAAAAAACTTTTGTCTGACAAAACCACGTGACACAGACAGACAAAAAGTATGACGAGGACCAGTGTCCGGCTGACTGAAGATCTGCTCATTGTGCTGACGTGTACTTGACAGTCTCTACTACTGCTGCTGCTGCTGCTGCTGTTGCTACTACTGCTGCTGGCTGTTGAGCGGTTATGGGAGCCTGGAATATATGACACACGTAAACTTTGATTCACCATTGAAGTTGTGGTTGTGGTTGTTGTTAGACTGTTGCCTTTGTTGTTTTTGTTATTATTCTTCATTCCACCTACTTCTGCTTTTTCTTCATTATCTTGATCTTCCTTTCAAATTTCTTCTTCTTCTTCTTCTTCTTCTTCTTCTTCTTCTTCTTCTTCTTCTTCTTCTTCTTCTTCTTCTTTTTTTTTTTTTTTTTTACTTATCTTCTTCTTCTTCTTCTTCTTCTTCTTCTTCTTCTTCTTCTTCTTCTTCTTCTTCTTCTTCTTCTTCTTCTTCTTCTTCTTCTTCTTCTTCTTCTTCTTCTTCTTCTTCTTCTTCTTCTTCTTCTTCTTCTTCTTCTTCTTCTTCTTCTTCTTTCTTCTTCTTCTTCTTCTTCTTCTTCTTCTTCTTCTTCTTCTTCTTCTTCTTCTTCTTCTTCTTCTTCTTCTTCTTCTGCTCCTTATTATTATTATTATTATTATTATTATTATTATTATTATTATTATTATTATTATTCCTCTTCTTCTCTTCTTTACTTTCTATATATTAATACTGTTATTACTACAAGACATCACCCAGCCACGTGTCTTGTCTAGACACAGCCGTGTGTATTTATTCAGTCTACAAACATTTCATTTTAAATTGACAACATGTCAAAGTTGACCAATTTGTCCGTCGCTAAGGAAAATGCCCAAAGCTTCTGTCAGTAACTCGCCGTCTCCGCAATTTGATCAAGAATCCTCGGAGTTAACCAACATTTATGTCAAGCAGACCTTGACTCCCAGTTAGCCCAAAGTTGACCTATCCTGAAACTGGTATCAGGAAATGTATTGGGGAAGTAAAGACGATCGCTGGTGTGTTAACCACATTGCCTAGCGAATGTTGAACGGTTTGTAAAAATGTGACAACAACAACAGCAACATCATCCTCAAAACAACTGCAATAATAACAACAAAATACAGTCAGTATGTTCCATTTTGATGAAACCGTAGGATGGGGTCGTGACCCTAAGGGTTAAAGTACAGGTGACACGTGACTTCATCTATAAACATCCAGAACTGTGCATGATAGGATTCTTGTCACCGACAGAACAAATCTACATCCTTTAAGGCGAGTCGAGCAAATCTACATCCTTTAAGGCGAGCAGGGCAAATCTACATCCTTTAAGGCGAGTCGAGGGGTAGAGAGCGACTACCACGAAGATGAACACAGGGTACAGCTGTCTTTCCTGGGGTAGGAAAGTGCGTGAGGTGGGATATCTGGAAAGAGACCAAGTTTCTCTCAGACAGGCTGGTGAGAACCACGTTCTGCAGAGGAACTACTACATGATGAAGATGATAAACGTCTGTGTATCTGACCCTTTGGTCCAAAGAGAACAGTGCAAAGGACAGTGTTCTAGGGATCTGGCTGATACCAATTACCCAGAGGAAAGGCACGGCGGAGATACATTCTACGGATGTCATTCGCTTTGGGGTTGTGCCACTGCTGCTGAAGACGGAGACGGCGCGGTTGTGAGAATTCCAGATTCTTGTGATGTCCATTTTCAGTTCAACTCATGCACTAAAAAAAAAATACTGAGTGGTCACTAATTCTCACTGAAACTTTTTTTTTCGAGGCCTGTACTTAAAAACCGTGCTAGGACCAGAAGTGAAATGCGGGAAACTTGTACGTGTGGCGTATCCTGACCAGGCCATGATGCTATATATGTATTAGGTTCCTTTTACCTTGACCTGTCCAACTACACACTCATTGACCTTTCATTCATGCTTGCTAAGGCTAGTCTATGTTACAGGGACGTCACGTTGTATTGTCTTGGCTTGTCGACATTTTTATCAGTAGAATGTGTGAAATGAATGCCTCCCGAGAGTGGTTTTTTTTTAATGACCTGCTCTCTGTGGCTCCGTTCAGCACCGCATAATGCCCTTTTTAGGGCCCACCACAAAAGGTTAACAGTCATGAAACCAAAGGTCGTACGCTGCACTCTCTCGTAGGACGTAGGCTAAGACTGTGGGGTAGGGGGTTGGGGTTAGGACCAGTTCTAGATATAAGGTCGTTAAAAGCGGTCACATAGTGCAATATAGTACACGCAGGTGAGCGTTTAGGAGCTAGATCGTGGCGGCTCCTGAGTGTACCTGTAACAGGGAGAGAGAAAGTGGGTGTGTACCTGTAAGAGGGAGAGAGAAAGTGGGAGTGTACCTGTAAGAGGGAGAGAGAAAGTGGGTGTGTACCTGTAAGATGGAGAGAGAAAGTGGGAGTGTACCTGTAAGAGGCAGAGGGAAAGTGGGTGTGTACCTGTAAGAGGGAGAGAGAAAGTGGGTGTATACCTGTAAGAGAGAGAGAGAAAGTGGGTGTGTACCTGTAAGAGGGAGAGAGAAAGTGGGTGTGTAATCTGTAAGAGGGAGAGAGAAAGTGGGTGTGTATCTGTAAGAGGGAGAGAGAAAGTGGGTGTGTACCTGTAAGAGGGAGAGAGAAAGTGGGTGTGTACCTGTAAGAGAGAGAGAGAGAAAGTGGGTGTGTTTTATTGTTAACGTGTTTGTATTTTTATAAATATGTGTGTCTAATTATCTGCTGCCTGCTATCCGTGTATTCTACAATAGAAGCTGTTCATGGAGGTCTGGTATCAGTGGTACAGACTTTATTGTGTATGTTGACCTCCTCCGTAATTTGACCCGTTTGCTGCCGTCTCTGGGGTGGTCAACTTACAGACAGGGGTTCAACTTTGTCTATTTTATATGTTGTTGTTGTTGTTATCGATCCAGCGGCGCATGAGCTTTCGCCCTTTGGCCCAATGCCATGTAGTGGAATTTGCATGTTTTCACAAGCTGTTCTTTTCCTCCGTACAAGGTGTTCCACTTGTCTGGTCTCGGAGGGAGTAGCGTTCTTCTTGTCTCACTGAGTTTTGGGCACTCAAAGAGATGGTGTTCAACAGTTTCGTAGGGGTAGTTACATAGCTGGCACTCTGGGGAGTGTTGTGGCTGTATTCTGTTTAGGTGTCCATTGAGTGGAGTATGTTGCGTTCTAAGTCTGAAGATGGTGGCCTGGTCCCTTCTTGTTAGATGGTTAATGCTGTCATTAGGATCAGGGCCAGACATATGTCTATAAACCTCTCTTCCAGTGTCTCCCATGGCCCATCTGTTCAACCAAGTCTCTTTGTTTATAGCTCTTATCAGTGTTTTTGCTGTCTGGAGGGTTGTCGATGTAGGTGGTTGTTCTTGTGTTGCTCCTTTCTTTGCCAATCTGTCAGCTCTGTCATTACCTGGTGTGCCGGAGTGACCTGGAATCCACTGCATCACTATTCTGATGTTGTATGAGGTAATAAGCTGATCGGCATCCAGGATTATCTTGGCTATGTCAGTTCTGCAGCGTTCATTGCCCTCCAGAGCTTGAAGGGCAGACATTGAATCTGTGAAGATGACAATATTTTGGACCTTTGAGGGGTAAACATCCATTACGGTCTTTAGGTGGTATACTGCTGTTTCCAGTGCAATTATTTCAGCTTCATAGTTTGAACAGAATTCCCCGCATGCATCAAAAATCTCTTCAACAGATCCATCGGGATAACCTATGTAGATTCCGTAACCTGCTTTAATGGTAGCTTTAAATGCTGATCCATCAGTATAAACATGTATCCATTCTTGGGGGTAAGAATCAACGGTCTTTAGTGATGAGTTCATAAGAGCGATTGGGTCGGACTGTTTGGTTTCCTCGCCTACCAATTTAGTTTGGATTTCTGGAGCTTTAAAGCGAGCATGTGGTGGTAGGTTTTTTTGCAACATTCTGAATTCCTTGACGTCTTTCTGGGAGGTGGTATCTGTCCTGAATTTCATTAACACAGTGTAAAACCGATTTGTGCTTTATTCTTTGTTTGGGTTCCCAGTTTTCTACAAGATGTCTATTAGGATGGTTACGATTTTTCCTAACGCATCTTTCATAAATTTCTAAAGTGGCTTTTTCTCTCCGCAACCCGAGGGGTTCCACATTTGTATGGATTTCACATGCAGCAGTTGGTGTAGACTGCATAGCTCCGCAGATTAATCGGAGGGCATTATTTTGTACTCTGTCAAGAGTCTCTAGGTTAGTTTTGGAACAAGTTGTAAGCAGTGAGTTGCTGTACTCTATCACAGAGCGAACATATCCTAGGTATAAGCCCCTCAGAGTTTCCTTGTCTGATCCCCATGATGTACCTGCAAGTCTCTTTAATAACTGTAACCGCCTCAATGCCTTATTCCTGATGTTTTCAATATGGTTCTTGAGGCTGAGCTGCGGGTCAAGTGTGACTCCAAGGTATGTGGGATGCTCTTCTTTCATCACTTGGTGTTTGTCTAACCTCAGGTTAATATTCTTCCTTGCTACTTGGTGGCTTTTGGTAAAGATTGTGTAGACCGTCTTTGCACAGTTAATCTTGAGTTTCCATCTTTGGCAGTAATCATGCAGTCTTCTAAGGTCTCCATTCAGTCTTTGGGCTCCACTTTCCACATTTCATGACACTGCCATATAGCTAGGTCATCAGCGTACAAGGCTTTTTCGGCCTTGATTTGTTCTGGCAGGTCATTGATAAAGATTAGGAATAGTGTACAGCTCAATGATGAGCCTTGTGGCAAGCCCTCCTCCAAGACTTCTTTAGAAGAGATTGCGTTGTGCATCTTAGTCTGGATTGTTCTATCTATCAGGAAGTATTTCACCCAGTTATACAATCTGCCATGTATTCCTATGCTCATCATCTTCATCAGGAGACCTTTTCTCCATACTCTGTCATAGGCCTGCTGGAGATCGACAAAGACTGCCACTGTGTGTTTCTTATTCTGGAAGCCATCATGTATTCTTTGTGTCAGTCTGAACAGCTGGTCTTCTGTGCAGCTGTTGGTTCTGAAGCCTGCCTGTTCATGGCTTAGAA